TATACAAATGTGTACTTTAGAAGCTCCGTCAGGAAAGTTTCTGCTTTTAACTGAATGATTTGTTTCTGGGACATTGTTAAATTCGATGTTATGCTCCTCTTTGGAGAGTTGCCTAGCCATACATTTCTTATACCTGTCTTGATTTGTTATGTATTATTATGTTATCCCTGTTGTGTACATCGCTGCTCCTAAATATTGTTTTTGGATGTAACAGGTTGGATGTGTATATCTACGATTATCTTGTGAAAAGAGATTTAAAAGCTACAGCTCAGGCCTTCCAAGCTGAAGGGAAAGTTTCATCGGATCCAGTCGGTAAGATGTCACAATCTTCTTGAGTTTTCTTATAGAGATTCTAATGATAGTTATACGTTGTGCACTTTTTTGGCCCTAATGAACTTCTCATTCTTCTTGCAATGTTTGTTGTAGCTATTGACGCACCTGGGGGGTTTCTGTTTGAGTGGTGGTCTGTCTTCTGGGATATATTTATTGCTAGGACCAATGAGAAGCATTCTGAGGTTGCAGCATCTTACATTGAGGTATCTTTCTTTGTTTACCCACAACTGCAATATTCTCTTTAGTTAGTGATATGGAGTTAGTTAGTAGCTTAATTACTTACACTTGAGCTGTGTTATCTCTTTTACTTTGTGTTTGTAGACAAGATTTAGAATTTGTATTTGCAAAGTATGAAATGTTTTCTCCTAGTATGTGATTATTTTGTTTTGTTTTGTTTTGGTTAAGTTTATATGATTCAAAAGTTCTTTATGTGCTGATATCTTACAGACACAGATGATTAAAGCGCGAGAACAGCAATTGCAGCAATCTCAACACCCACAGATCTCACAGCAGCAGCAACAACAACAACAACAAATACAAATGCAACAACTGTTATTGCAACGTGCACAACAACAGCAGCAGCAACAACATAATCCGCAACAACAGCAGCAGCAACATCAAAACCAACCACCTTCTCAACAGCAGCAGCCAGGGCCTCAACACCAACAGCAGTCAGCGCCTCAGCAGCAGCCACAGAGGAGGGATGGGTCCCACCTGTCAAATGGATCCGCAAATGGACTTGTTGGTAGTAACAGCGACCCGGTTATGAGGCAAAACTCTGGGTCTGGGAGTGCCTTGGCAAATAATAAGGCATACGAGGAGAGGGTCAAAATGCCTAGTCAGAGGGATTCCTTAGATGAGACTGCTATGAAGGTTTGTTTAAACAAGGATGTTTTGATTCACATCTCTTCTTTTTGTCACACCTTAGTTTCTTCAAATGTTATAATTCGAATATCCGTTGGCTACAGAGGTTTGGGGACAATGTTGGGCAACTGTTGGATCCAAATCATGCTTCGATGTTGAAATCTGCTGGAACTTCTGGACAGCCTGCAGGGTGCTGTTCTCATACTTATGCCTTTGCTGTTTTCACTTATATTGTCTGCTATGTCTCCTAGTATAAAGTGAATTAACAACAAATATCTCTCACTTGTGCTAATGTCATTTGCTGATGAATCTCAGGCAAGTTTTACATGGTGTAAGTGGTGGCATGTCTCCACTGGTTCAAGCTCGAAATCAGCAACTTTCAGGGTCTGCTATGGTATGTAATATTGACTCTTAGTTGTGTCTAGTCCCAGTGCACAACTGTACTGTGAGCTCATACTTGCTGGGCTTATTTGTGTTTAGGATATAAAAAGTGAGATCAACCCTGTGCTCACTCCCAGAACTGCTGTTCCAGAAGGGTCGTTAATTGGAATTCCTGGTAGGTTTGCTAATTTTTTTAGATCGTTTCAGTAGGTTAAGCTTGTCAAATGTAGTAAAAAAGTACTTCACCTCTCAAAAAACTTGCTAATGATTAGTGCTTGTTTCCCGTTTCAGGTTCAAATCAAGGCAACAACCTTACACTTAAAGGGTGGCCACTCACCGTAAGCACTATGCATTCATTTTTCTGGCTCGTCTCTATCTCATTTTCTTATAGGAGTTTCCTTTTTGACTGCTGCTTTCTTTCCTGATTTAGGGATTTGATCAGCTTCGTTCTGGTCTTCTTCAGCATCAAAAACCATTTATGCAGTCTCCACAGTCTTTTCACCAACTCAACATGTTGACTCCGCAACATCAGCAACAGCTCATGATGGCTCAACAGAATCTAAACTCACAAACCGTCAATGAAGAGAACAGAAGACTGAAAATGCTATTGAACAACCGGAGCATGAGCCTCGGAAAGGATGGCCTTGGGAGTTCTGTAGGGGATGTGTTACCTAATGTTGGAACGTCTTTACAACCTGGTGGCACTCTTTTGCCTCGTGGAGACACCGACATGTTACTAAAGGTTTACTCTTTCTCTTTACACAACTTTAGTGGGTGACTTACATGTACAAAAGTTTGCAAATCTTGAAAAAAAAAACTTACAGTATTGTTTCGTATAATTGGAAGAATACATACTATATAGTAACCTCTGCTCAAATTCGAAGGCTGGACGATTACGTTAATAACGATGTATGCTTTGTAGTTAAAGATGGCTCTGTTACAGCAGCAGCAGCATCAACAGCAGGGTGGTGTAAATCTACCACAGCCACAGTCACTTAATCAGCACGCCCTTTCAAATCAGCAATCACAGAGTTCAAATCACAACATTCATCAACCAGATAAATTGGGTGTGAATGGTAGTATAACGATGGATGGTAGCATGTCAAATTCCTTTAGAGGAAATGAACAGGTCTGTTCTTAAGTTACATAAGATTTTAGTTTCTGGTGAGACTGAGGCTGATCTCTAAATTGCATTTAACTGAAGGTGTTGAAGAATCAGACTGGGAGGAAAAGAAAGCAACCAGTTTCGTCGTCTGGGCCAGCTAATAGTACAGGAACTGCCAACACTACGGGACCATCGCCAGGCTCAGCACCTTCTACACCTTCAACTCATACTCCTGGAGATGTGGTTTCTATGCCTAATATACCTCGTAGTGGTTCCTCCAAAGCAATAACTATGTTTGGCACTGAAGGAACTGGCACTCTTACATCTCCATCAAACCAGTTGGTGGGTTTCTTTAAAATGTTAATGGGATTCCACATAAGCTTTTCCTAAAATCAATATGAATTAGTAGCATTAATTAATGGTTATTTTTCAGGCTGATATGGATAGATTTGTGGAAGACGGTTCACTTGATGACAACGTTGAGTCTTTTTTATCGAATGACGATGGTGATCAACGGGACGCCGTTGGACGGTGTATGGATGTTAGTAAAGGTGTGTGTTTCTTTCGCTACGCAACAGTTCAACAATAACACTCGTGAAGTTTTCTTCTGACATCACTACAATGATGCCTCTCTGCACCAGGTTTCACGTTTACTGAAGTAAATTCAGTACGTGCGAGCACAAGTAAAATCGCATGTTGCCACTTCTCATCGGATGGAAAAATGCTTGCCAGCGCTGGACATGACAAAAAGGTAAGCCCTAAAGCATCACTAGGTCTTGTGGTGCTCCGAAACTTAAGAATCTCTTGGCTTGGTCCATTTTTGCAGGCTGTATTATGGCATACAGACACTATGAAGCCGAAGACCACCCTTGAGGAGCACACGGCTATGATAACAGATGTCCGTTTTAGTCCGAGTCTACCTCGCCTTGCAACTTCTTCATTTGATAAAACTGTCAGGGTTTGGGATGCTGATAATGTAAATTGAGTGCTGATGATTCCATTTTTTTTTACCTCTACATGAATATTCTGTGAGCTCTTAAAGAATTTGTGAACATTCATTGCAGAAAGGTTACTCCCTGCGTACTTTCATGGGACATTCTTCTATGGTTACGTCACTAGACTTCCATCCCAACAAGGATGATCTCATATGTTCCTGTGACAATGATGGCGAAATAAGGTACTGGAGCATCAACAATGGAAGTTGCACAAGAGTGTACAAGGTAGATCTTTTTGTCAATTTTCAACATTATCGAGTTGTTTTATGCATATCAATACGTTTAACTTCACTTTTGTTTTGTTTTTGTTCACAGGGTGGTAGCACTCAGATGAGGTTCCAACCACGTGTTGGAAAGTATCTAGCTGCTTCGTCAGCAAATGTTGTATCTGTACTTGATGTTGAGACACAAGCTTGTCGACACTCTTTGCAGGTTTAGTGTTCAAACTTCCCTTATTCGATATGTACTCGTTTTATATGATCTATCTACTGAATAACTACTAAGAGAGCAACTAAAATGAAAAGCACTGTTTACTAATGGCTCTGTACAGGGCCATGCTAATCAGATAAACTCGGTTTGCTGGGATCCTTCTGGTGACTTCTTGGCAACGGTTAGTGAAGATATGGTGAAAGTTTGGACGCTGGGGACAGGTAGTGAAGGAGAATGTGTTCATGAGCTAAGCTGCAATGGCAACAAATTCCAATCTTGTGTTTTCCATCCCACTTACCCTTCACTACTCGTAATTGGGTGTTACCAGGTAAAGTTAATATCTTAACTAATATGTGTGTTCAGTCTGGTGCTGGTTCTCTAAACTTTGTGAAACTTGTGTGTACAGTCTTTAGAACTATGGAACATGTCAGAGAACAAGACGATGACATTGCCGGCTCACGATGGGCTGATAGCGTCATTGGCTGTTTCAACTGCAACTGGATTGGTTGCATCAGCTAGTCACGACAAGCTAGTAAAGCTGTGGAAGTGAAACTAACTGACAGGGAAGACAAGCTAGTTTGTGTTTAGGTAGTATTCTTCTCAGGGAGGGGAGGGGGGTTCTTTTAACAAGTGTTTCTCTTTGTAGTTCTTTCTCGGCCAGTCATCTTCGAGCTCAAGATAGTTTTTCAGAGGGTTAAACAATGTTGTTGTATGATCTCGTGGAACTGTGATAACTGTTGTTGTAATCTTAGTTTTTAATCACTTAGACACTCTTCACTTCGGTTTGGTCTGGTTTCACTAGTTATATATAAACGTTTGGGAAACTTATTAGCGTTTTTCGAAACCGTTGAAAACTAAAATATAGGAACGGTAAACTTGGGCATAAAGAAGAGCAGTGATTAGTGATAGTTCATAAGAAAAGTATACTGTTGCAGAGCAAAGTAAATGCTATACTGTACTAATGAGTCTTCCAGGTTAGCACAAAAAGAGAATTATATAAGTGACACTAAGGAAACTATTATACGTTATTATTTGAGAAAGAAGTTTGAATACAAACCTAGAAAGACACAGAAAAATTGCAAATGGCTACCGTAGAACAAATAACAACTTAGAAGCAAAGTCGCTAATCACATCTCATATTCAGACTTAATCATGTGGCTTCTTTTCAGGATCTGATACCTGAACCGGATCCCTGATTTCTCGTCCCCTTGAGATGATACTTCCGTGTTGCTCTCTACCTGCAACATATATGCACATGAGCAAAAAGAATCAAAGTTTTGTATCCTCATTTTGTAAAGTCACAATGCAAATTTTACTCTACTTCACAGTGGTATTAGTAAGATGGTAGTCAAAATTTCTGCTGAAATCTCTATAAGAGGTCACCTGGTTGTGTAAAGATCCTGTGACAGGCGCCAGAGGTGGGTTGATGACCCGGCCTTGTACGATACTCTGAAGACAGAAACGGTGTTTCTCTTGAGCTCCCTCCTTCATACATTTGGCCTAGTTTGTATGGACCTTCGCTTGTGTTGTTCTTTGTCTTTGGTTTATGAGATAAATCCGTAGACCATGAGCCCCCGCTTGATCCTGCCAACGCCATTATCACATCCGCCTGCAAAGAACATAACATTCATATGATATAAACTTCTCAAGTAGTCGAATAATTTGAATTATTAAAGTGTTAAGTGAGACAGATAAGAGTTACTTTGTTTGGGTGAACATCATCAAACACATGAGCTTGACCACCATAGAAGATAGTCATCTGCTTAGTACTCGACGTCAAATCTTTCTTATTCCCAGTACTGCAAATACAAAACACAGTGTGCTGAAACTGACTTGAGGACAAAGCATCAAAAAGACTAGAGACATTACTAGAAGCTAACTCACCTTGAAGGGGAAAAACATTCGACTTTGCTCATGTTTGGCATTGTAAAATGACTCATGATACCTGGACCTTTCATCCCTGTCCGTGAACCTTCATCAGCAGCTGTCTGAGCAACAACCGATGGTCCCACGTTTTCATCCTTGAACCTGCTTGAAGACAGCTGATGAAGCAAATGGCTAATTTGGCCTCCTCCTCGTGGAGGCTGGTTTGCCATATGATTCATATTCATGGAGATGCTTCCAGGTCCGTTTCTTGGCATCTGGTTATAGACAATAACAGATCATGAACCTGTGAACACGGTGAAGTTATTATGTAGGTTCTGGTTTATCTTTACCTTGGACCAATGCAGACTCTCTGGTTGCTCTTGAGGCGTGAACTGTGAATCCGAGTTACTTCTCTTGTTTCCTGAAAATCTGTTGCTCATGATTGAGCCAGAAACTTCACTTCTTGGTCCAAACAATTGTCTCCCATCAAGATGATTACCCCCACCGCTCCCTTGCCTTTCAACTAATAGGAAGATCAAATGTAAATAAGCAACTTCACATTGCAGTTAGTAGTAGCTAGATAGAGGTAACAAAGAAGAACATTTCATATAAAAAACATCACAAGCTCAAATGGGTATGACCCACCAAACTCATCTGTCAAATTCACTCACAATGTCCCAACTAATCCATCACAGACATTATGGTTGGACAGAGAGAGTGTGTGTCTCTCAACCACATGATCACACACACACACACAAAAACATGTTCAAGTAAAGAAACAAAGACAATGGACACTCACATCTTGTTTCACTTCAATTTCAAAAAGATGTTCCAATTTTTCTACTAAGAAGATCTAATCAGAAAGGATTTGATGCAAAGTTTTCCAGTTATAGAAACTAATTCACATGACCTTCTTCTACACTCTAAAATCACAGCTAGATGAAAGAATTGAACTCCAAAATCGAATCTATGTAAAAAAAGACTTGAACTTTCTATAAATAGAAACCCTAAATGTACAGAGAAACCAGCTTAAACCACAACCCTAGAAGGAGCCACACTTCATCAAAAAGCATCAACAGAGAGAAGTACCAAGATCGGAGTTTGAGGAAAGACCACCGCGTCCACCGACGGAGGAAGCCGTCGCCAGTTTAGTTGCCTTGTCCAGTGGTAGCATGTGTTCAGCCATGGAAGTGGAAGCTAAAGTTTCAGTCTTGGATCCTAAGAAGTCATGGAACAAGAACTTATCTTGCTCTTTTTGCCGGAGACGATCATCATTGTTGTGGTTCACCATCATCAAAGAACCAATGTGTCAGTGTGTCCACTTCGCCACCACTTCCTCCATTACAGTTTGTTCTCTGTATTATTTCATGGACAGAGAGAGAGATGGAGAGAGATGAGAGTGTCCTTTGGTTCTACTTTATTGGGTTTCTCTTACATGTAATTGTAATAATGAATCATATCTTTTCAAACAAATATAATTAAAAATTTCACCTTAAAAGAACATAAGTAAAGATTGTAAAATCATGACATTGTAGACTGCTTTTTTTTGTATTAAGGTAGAGTCATAGATTCATGATGTTATCAGTTAAAACTGTTAAAAAGATGTACACTTTAATGATTTAAGGTGTGTGTATCTAATCTAACAAACACACTTCTAAGTTCTAACTTCTAACCTATCAGCACCTAAAAAATAGTTTGTGGACAGTTGGTAAGGTTGCATTTACCTAAAAGTTTTCATGTGGTACATTGGTAAAACTGTAAAAGTACTTTGCTCAGATGTAGTGGTTAACTCTCTTTCTTCATGTGTTATCACATCCATATTTTTAATTTAAATTTTACATTAATGATTAAGTAATTTGTGTTAAGATAACTATAACATAGTTTACTTCATAATACACTATATGAATATTATAAAACTAAGAAGAGAAAATTGCGTAGACATACATATATTATTTTCAATACTGAAATATCTTTTATTCAAAAAATATTAAAAAATTGAATATTAGTTTATATAAATTAAAAACACCTCCAATGGACGATTCTACCCATTTAAATTCTAAAGATGCATATGTGTGTATATATATGTTATAGGGAAATTGCATCTCATAGCTACAAAAAAAAAATAAATTAGGTAACTAACCAAATACCCCTCTCTTTCTTCCATCCTCTTCCTATCTCTCTCTTCCCTCTCTCTAAAAAACTAATTTTCTTTTTCTTTATGACTATTTCACAAATAAGCCCTATGTTATATGTGTGTATCTAGATTATACATATATATAACACATACATATACACATATGCATCTTTAAAACTACAATAATAGAACCCCCATTAAAGATGCTCTAAATACTCTAATTCGAGAGGAGCAAGTGAGTCAGTGGTCGCATCACTTCTGCTGCCATCTCACAAATCATGGTTCAAATCCTACATCTACCTCTTACAAGAGGAACTAGTAGGCTATTATGCCACATATGCCACATATGAAAATTAAAATCTACTAATTCTTAATTATATTGGTAAAAAAATGTAACCATATTTGCTAAATCTAACTCTTATATTGGTTGAAATATTCTTAACCATATTTCTTCTAAGGTTCCAATCTAGTTGAAATAGTTTGGAAGTTGTGAACTCTAAGGACGATTGACTGCTTAGACCTTTTAAGTTGTAAATTATCTATTTAGCAAATGTGGAATATTTACACCAAAAAAGCAAATGTAGAATATTTGGTTTTGAGAGTGGAGTTGTTGAACTTTGGGTGAAGTGTTTACTTTCTCTTAATATCTTAGCCTAATCTGAGTATGGAAGAGAGTTAAAGAGTAGACATTAACCTATTTCTGATGATATCTCGATGTTACAACCACTCATCATGACGATTTCCCACTTCATGATACTCTGATATTTTCTACTTTTTGCAAATTTTGAACTGAAACAAAAAATAGTCTAAAGATATGTTTAATGATCAATAAACGATCTTACGTCAACTTAATATGTTTATGATAATAAATTTTCCAGTATTTATTTTCTTGCTGACTTAAGCTCGTTTAGTTATTAAAATAAGATGTAGTATGTCAGTAGTTCTAAAATAAGTATTGGTACCATACATTTGTAAGATGTTTAGAGAAAGCATCAAATTATTCTTGCTGAATTTTAAAATAATTAGTCTCCAGTATAACTGTCTTTTGTATAGGAACACATGTTTTACCTCGATAAGAGAGAAGGGGTTAAGGATTCCAATTTTGGTTTATGTCTGATTTACTTATAAGAATCTAAGAGTAGGCCATCAGTAAATCTGGAGGAAGGATTCACAATTTCTTTTTTACTTTCTTTTTACTTTTTTTTCTCATTTGACTTTAAAAAAAAGAATCAATTACGGATCACTACATTGTATGGAATCCGCGACATTCGGCGACACAGGTTCAGAAAAATATAATTATTATTTTTATTTTTTTGGGGAAAGGGGTGAACCCCACTTATAATCCTCCAATGGACATGTTTTAAGGATGACCTCTTTCATACTATATGGCTATATTGCAAGAAAAAAAAATGTTTTTGATGGACTAGTTGAAGTCATAAATCTGTGGAACTTGCATTGCGGAGGCGAGTGACTTTGTGCTATGATGTCGCTAGATTATGTTATTGACTGCATAATATGTTTGGGGATGCAAGAAATCTGATGCATAGATGTCATCATGTCAAATTATATGTGTTCTTCTTTGGCTTGTTTTTTGTATATGTTTTCTGTTTCGTGCCATCAACTATCTGCTAACAAGGACACCAAATGGGCCAAGTAAACAGAAAGGATAAGTGATATTGTGCAAAGTGAACTAAACCACAGAGAATAAACGTAGTAATTGTATGATCAATAAAATGTATTTCAAACATCATCAGGAGCTTAAGCCCAATGAACGGGTATAGAAGTCTACTGGAAAAAAACAGGCCGGGGGCATTACACACTTCAGACTGAAAGAATGACTTGGGGATAAAAAATCTTCAATTCCTTGTTTGTTGGTATTGTGAAGAAGTTTGAAATAACGGTTTGTGGTATATAGAAAAGTTTTTAAAAAGTGATTTAGCAATTTATATCACCAAAATGTATTTATTTTGTCGGTTTCGCATCTATAGAAAATTCTAGAATTAAACGTATTTGAACTGGAATAATCAAATGATGAATGATCTAGCGTATAGTGATTCGCGTCATGTGACTGAAGTCAAAACACTGAGAAAAATCATGTGATGATTAAAGATCTAATAAACAAGTTTTTCGAGTTTTGAAAAATTAACGCACTACCCACACGCCGTAGATGGGAGAAATCCATTAACTATAAACGGTTGGGACATTACATATGAATCTTAGAGATTAACATGTCAAACAATAGTAGGGAACATTTAAATCTCAGGAAAGGTGTACATGACCTGGATGAACAAATAAAATTTTAAGGCCTAGATTGTATCAAACAACAATCATCTCTAAGTTTGCGTTTACATGAGAAAGGAAACTTTCAAATCTTTTTTGGTTCAGTTTTCTTTTCTAGTGACATATTACTGGATCATCCTTGTCGTAGGTTTGGATTTAAAAAAATGGAGAGATTGCTGAATATTCATAAGAGACAAAAAATGAAAAATATAACCATCTGTGAAAGAATGTGTCAATTTGACACATAAATAAAGACATTTCACTTAGGCATGGGCGTTTCGGGTATCGGTTCGGTTCAGTTTGGGTATTTCGGATTTCGGGTAGTTCAGGTAGGGGGTTAGAGGATCAATTTACTACTTGACCTATTTTCGGTTCAGTTCGGTTCAGATAGTAAAATTAGGAATCAAAAAAATATCTAGAAAATTTGGTTCTCATTAGTTTTGGTTCTGGTTCGGGTAGTCTGGATAAATTATCAGTTATTTAGGATAAAATATCAAATAATTAGAACGATTTAGATACAAATTTCAGATATTTCGGATTACTTTGGATATTTGGATAAAATTATCCGTATACTTTTAGGTAGTTCGGATACTTTATAATTATTTAGTTATCTTCAACTATTTTTGGATACTTCTAATAAATTTTAAATTAAATCATATATTTGGTTATGTTATATGTATATAAAATTAATATTATTATATATTTGGGTATCCATTCGGTTCTCGATTCGATTTCTGTTCGGTTCAGTTATTTCTGATATATAAGTATAAGAATACATGTATTGATGGCTACAAGGTACATGATGGTTTTATTATCACTAATTACATGATAAACGTGATGATAAATATTATTTCTAGGGTTTAATAATAAAAAATTCAAAATCAAGTAATAAAAAAATATTGATGGTCACAAATGCATAATAAAATTAAAAAAATTTACGGTGACAATAAAATTTCACTAAAATGACCAATAAACTTGATAATATATTTAAACAATAAGGATAACATATTAAACGTCAAATAAAACAAACAATGAATTGGTACATAACAAATGTATGATATTTGTATGATATTGTTATTAACTTGATTGACGATCTTATTTAACTTTCAATTTTGTTTTTTTTCACTCTAATTCTTAATTTGAATTAGATTTGATTTAAACTTTTAGGTATGAGTATTGTCTCTGGCCTTAAGTATAAAGTTAAAAACAATTCACTTATGTGCCATGATTATTAAAATACAAATATTAACAACAATTTATATAGGTAAACAAATTTTAAATTCTGAAATATGTCAAACAAGATATACAAAAATAATGCTAAAATATAAAATAATTTATTATTTTATGTTCTTTGTAAAATTAAAACATCAAATATAATCTCTATGGATTAAAATAAAAAAACTAATCGGAACTTTATGGGAAAACAAATTTAATTTCTAAAATAAATTTCATATAACATATGCAAAACAAATCTTCAAACTATAACATGAATTATTATTTTATATATTTTATAAATGTTAAAGGATCAAATAAAATCCGTGCAATGCACGGACTCATATTTAGTTGTAAATAAGTTATAAATGTAAAGGGTAATTTATATAGGTACTTTTATTTTAATAAAGTAAATTATGTATAAGTGTCCAAATTTCTCTTTAAAAAATGTATTTTTTTGTGGATACAAGAAAACTGACATCAAGCTTTGCTAGAATGAGAATTATATATACTCATCCTTAAATTTCTAACTAAAAGAAAAAATGTTGTCGCAACATAGAAAGAACTTCTAACTCCCTCTCACACCAAATTGGTCAAAAGGTAACGGCAAATATATACAGTAGAACCTCTATAAATTAAAACTCGATAAATTAATAATCTCTCTAAATTAATAAATTTTGCCGGTCCCAATTTGGGCCAGTTCAAAATTTGACATAAATCGATAAAATAATAAGATAATAATTTTTAGAAAGTTCTATGTAAATATATGGTCCCATTAAAATCATAAATTAATAATTTATATTTATACATATTTTATATAAATAATAACCTATTAGTATATCGTTTGTTTTATATTTACAAGAAAATTCTTTTTATATTTTCTTGACACTTAATAAATTGTTGATGAGATTTAGTAATATTATATCTAAAACCATATTTAAATTCTATGAAATATATATTATATACGCCAAGTAATATAAGAAATTTAATACAAATGTCAAATTTCAAAAAATGACAATAAATATCTATACACTAAAATAAAATATTGTTCTTATTTTAGAATAAATATATCTTAAAATAAAAAATCTAAATAAGGAAACTTTGGTAAATTAATATCTCTATAAATTAATAAAATTTCAAAGTCCAACATTATTAATTTATAGAGGTTTAACTGTATATATATATATTTTTTTTTATCAAGGTAACGGCAAATATTAGCAACAGAAACATAGCTGGATGCATCAAGAAGAGTCCATCCCAAAAAAAAGAAAAAAAAAAAAAAGAAGAAGTGATCAACAGAAAAGCTATTCTCCAGTCCAGCTATAACGCGCCGCACCGGAAAAACAGGGGAGCTGGTTAAGTAAGAAGAACATAAATAAATCTCTTCTCATTTTTATTACACACATTCTTGTTGTGAAATGAAAGAAAATAAAACACAAGGAGCCAAAGAACACATCACTATCTCAAACCTGTAATTCTATACTCTTCTTTGTGTGTGATTCCTGTTGGGCTTTGAATTCTATATCCTTAAAATTATTATTTATTCTTATTTTATCCCCTCCTTGGTTGATCGCTGAGCACAAAAAAAAATCTAAAATAATCGCAAGAGAATTAAAGAAGAAGAAGAAGAAGTACGATTACAATCAACAACAAGGGGATTTCGATAAGCTGAAAAAGTTTGACTCTTTCTGTACTCTCTCTTCTTGGGTCTCTCTCCAATTGAAGAATTAGGTTTGTTTCCCTGATTTCTTGTGAATTTTCTCAATTCCAGCCGCGAATTAGGGTTTTTTTTATTAAGTGAAATAGGCATGAAATTGATGATTAAGTGTTTTATGCTTACTTGTGTCTCTCTCAATTTCATGACTTTGTTTATGGGTTTTTGCAGGAAGTCAAAAAATTTGAGTTAAATGGTATTATTACAAAACCTAGATGGGTGTTTCTCTTCTGAAACAACAACAACAACATAAAGCTCACACCTTTTTTCTACATTCATGGAACCATCATCATCATCAGCTCATCTAACCACCCCAAATGACCACATCATTGACATTCCAAGAAACACCCCTTCTCATGAGGAAGAGGATGAGAGACCTTCCACTACTCCTCCTCCAGTGCCTGTCTCTAACTTACCTTCTTCTTCTGCTTCTGTGCGGTCAAATCCTAGAAGCAGCACTCGTCGCAGACGCAGTCCTTTGAACTCTGGCTTATGGATTTCCATTGAGCTACTCCTCACTCTTGGCCAGATCATTGCAGCCATTGTTGTTTTGTCTTTGTCTAAACATGAGCATCCACGTGCTCCCTTATTTGCTTGGATTGTTGGTTATGCCTGTGGCTGCGTTGCAACGCTGCCGCTTTTGTACTGGAGATATTATCATTCCAATCTGGCCTCTGACCAGGATTCTACTCAGCATCGTCCTAACCTTAACGTTGCAGCAGGACCATTCGCCTTCTCCATATCTAGATCATCTGAAGGAGATGCTAGACAGACCAATAACAGCACGTCTTCTCGTGGTAGTAGATATCCTGGTTTCATAAGCGCTGCTAGGTATTTATGTTTTAGTGCGTTCATGGTATAAATAATCTGTTTGTACTCAGAAAGTCACTGAAATGAGTCTTTGATTTTGTCTTATAGACTAAAAGTTCTCATGGAGTACGTCAAAATGGCGCTGGATTGCTTCTTTGCGATATGGTTTGTGGTAGGTAACGTCTGGATATTCGGAGGGCATTCATCTGCATCCGAGGCTCCTAACTTGTACAGGTATTAGTCTGACCTTTGGCTACATTTGTCAAAAGGCTCCTAACTCATTTTTTTGGTCTTTGTATGTTATAGGTTATGTTTAGTGTTTCTTACCTTTAGCTGTATTGGCTACGCCATGCCCTTCATCCTCTGCACGACAATATGTTGCTGCTTGCCGTGCATAATCTCGATTCTCGGATACAGAGAAGATTTAACTCAACCCCGAGGTGCTACACCTGAGTCGATAAATGCATTGCCTACTCATAAGTTTAAGTTAAAGAAAAGCAGAAGTAGTGGTTCGAGTACTAGTGAAGGTGGAGTTGTGGCGGCTGGAACAGATAAAGAACGTGTGATTTCAGGAGAAGACGCCGTGAGTTTTGCTTTACACTTTTGACTCTGTATACGTACAATCAAGTCTCTGAATAGTTACAATTGTTTGCAGGTTTGTTGCATTTGCTTGGCGAAATATGCGAATAATGAAGAGTTAAGAGAGCTTCCTTGCTCGCATTTTTTCCATAAAGAGTGTGTTGACAAGTGGCTTAAGATCAATGCTAGTTGCCCTCTTTGTAAGAGTGATGTTGGGGAGAAGAACTCTGATTTGACAAGCCAGGGGGTTTTAAGTTCGCTCTCTTCTGGTGAAAACGGTAACACTCAGCAACAGGGGAATGAAACTAGAGTTAATAACGGTTTGGCTCACAGCGTTATGTAGACATTTGCTCGATGTTGGAGAAAACGGGTACACAGAAAGGCGTTTTGCATTGTTCCTGCACAAAACGGCGTTTGCTTCTGAGCCTTGTCGTTAAGAAGGTGAAAAAAAAAACCTGTGCGGTCTAAATGCCTTTCGCTTTTGTAAATTAAAACCCTCTGAACATGTAGGAGAGTTTTGAAAATCAGTGATTGAGTTTGCGTGTGTATTAGATACTCTTTGTTTTTTTTTGTTTCTTCTCTGAATCTATCATGAACAAAACCTTTATACGAGAGCTAGGCTCTTTAAATACCTTGTGCAGCTGAATTGCCTTATCAATAGCCTATTCTATATAGAAACTTTATACTGGACCATGAATATGTTCTGCTTATTCTTCAGTCTTAGTACTACTTTGTTCAAGATTTCAGCCTCCGGCTGAGTATACTAAGGTTATAGCTTTGCGTTTTAAGAGAGAGCTCACAGTGTCAATAAAAATGGAAATTTTCTAAAGGTAACAGCTTGATGCAAATGTTTTCTTTAAAACGGTGTGAAAGAAGCAAAAATGACTTGGTTCCTGAATCATTTTAGACTATCATTTAAAAGTGGTATAGTTCCCTGCCAAAACAATTAACTGCATAAACCTACCAAGAGACTGAAAAGATCCTCCTAAGCGTTTTTCTGGAGATGGTTTTCATGAACATATGTGCCAACAGATTTGAACCATCGCAGTAAGCTACGGTGGTCCTTTACATAAAGCCATTCCTGAAGAAACGGGAAGAGACTCTCATTCACGCCTCGCTCCTCTAGGAAGGCATGGAATACGTCTCTCATCTTGTCAACCAGCTCTCTGTCAAAACAATTACCAACAGCACACATCCTTCTTTTGAGAACTGAGAAATGAATAAAGAGCTTACTTCATGATACAAACATAACATGGCAAATACTGAAAGCTAAAAAGACTGTAATACTAATGAAAAAGGTTGTAGAGGAACACACTTACTCAAAAGAAGGTCCTGTGTATCGAGTAGGATCATCAGACATCTCCAAAGCCTCGAGCTTTGGCCTCATGGAAACAGTGTGAATAACCCAATGCATCAGGGTAAAGCCCACAAGAAAATGCAGAGAATCAGCATGGCTTTGCTTTGAGACAGCTAAATGGAGGAACAACTGGTTAATCCCACCATTATCTTCCTCACCATCATCACCTCCATGAGCCAACCGCATCACGAAAAAACTGATCTCTTCATTTCCATTATTTCCTCAGAACAGCTCCGGTTCCTTCAAGTGATCCTTTCACAATCTCAAATGTTGAAGGAGGAGTCACTTTCTAAAAATCAAAAACAACGCATTGATGTATATATCTAAGTGGCGAGGAAGAGATAACGAGTAAGGGGAAGAAGGAACCTGAGGAGGAGTCACCTTGGAACTCAATTGAGAAATTACCAATAATCTCTGCAAGAGCAAGAACCTTCTGAGAAATGATGAAACCTTTTAGAATCTCTAATAATGAGTCTCCTTTTCTCCATCAAAGATATTGCTTTGGCTGTTTCATGACAGTCTCCACATATTCTAAGATTCTTCCTTATGATTATCGGTTCCATTGGACTAATTACCAAAAGCCCAAACGCCATTGCAATCTTCTCGCTATGTTGATTAATCATTTCCTCTTTCACATCTTCACCAACATCATGTAACACAAACTCTGTTCTTGATTTATATCCTAATTCCTTCTTCATCTTCTCTCTAATCTCTCTCAGCTTCTTCTGTATCTTCTCTGATTCAGGGTGAGACCAATCTCCCACAACAAACTTATGAATCTTATTCCCATGTTCAATGTAGCTACACCCTGAAGCTCTTACAAGACGTTTCTGTTTCATCAGATTCCTTATTCTTGAAGCATCTTTCCACTGACCAGAAGCTGAGTAGATATTCGCTAGCATTATGTAGTTTCTACCATCACAGGGCTCTAACTCAAACAACCTCTCTGCAGCTTCTTCACCGAGTTTGGTATCTCCATAAACTCTACAAGCACCAAGCAAAGCTCCCCAAACACCAGAACTCGGCTCCATTGGCATCTCTTTGATCATTCTATAAGCATCCTGAAGAAACCCGGATCGACCCATCAGATCAACCATACAAGAGTAGTGGTCTAACCTCGGCTCAACTCTGTATCTTTCCAACATTGTTTCGAAATAACGCTTCCCTTCTTCGACAAGACCCGAGTGACTACAAGCACTCAACAAGTGAGTAAAAGTTACATGATCAGGACTAACACCAGAGTGATCAACCATAAGCTCAAAAAGCTTGATCGCGTCTCTTCCATAACCATGAGTGGCGTAAGCAGCAAGCATTGCTGTCCACGCCATACTATCTGGACAAGTAATCTCAAAAAACACCTTAGACGAATCCTCCAACCTCCCCAGTTTTGCGTACAAGTCTAATAACGCCGTTGCTACACACATGTTTGCATTAAACCCACAACACAAGATCATCCCGTGAATCCCTTGCGCTACTTTCACTGCCCCAATAGCTTCACAGACACGGAGAACAGCAAGAAAAGTAGCTTGATCAGCCTTATTATTCCCAACCCTTCTGCTCAAGTTGAAGCAACCCAGACCTTCTTCAGTTAAACCGTTTTCCAAGTAAACCACAATCATCGTATTCCACGAAACCACATTCTTTACACTCAAATCCTCAAACAATTTACAAGACGAACTCAAATCTCCAACCTTTCCATAACAATTTATAAGAGCATTCACAATTTTGACCTCCTCCAGCAAACCATGTTTCATCACAAGCCCATGAACGCAGCGTCCTTCTTCTCTACTCTTTACATGAACACAAGCCGAGATAATCGACAAAAACGTAACTTCGTTAGGTCTAAACCCTAAACCCACTTCACATCTCATCAACTTAGATAAAGCCTTCAGACATTTACCTAGATAATTTCTCTCTGAATAACCAGATATCAAAGAGTTCCAAGAGACTAAATCTCTCTCAGGCATTTCATCGAACAGCTTCTCTGCGCAAAGTTCATGACCCAGTCTCAGGTAACAACGGACGAGCTGGTCTCCAATGAATCCCTGACGGTAACTCACAGTCTTCACTACCTTACAGTGAAGCGAACGGCATTTGGAAATGGAGACGCAAGAGGTTATAGACGCTATTAGTGATGAAACATATGCCATATAACTCCAAGAATCATAAAACAGAGAACAAGTTCGTTCTTGAATATATCATCTTCTACTGTTATAAATATAATCAAACACCACACATTTTATAAATTGTTAGATTTTATAAATTATACAATTTAAAATACGTAATCATTATCAAATACTCAATCATGAACTTAGGGGTTTAATGTGTATATTTATTTTTAGTAACACAATACACCATTAGGGGATTAGTAATCAAAAGTACATGCACTGATGAAAAGGATAGTATACAAAGATATCAAAGAAGTAAGAAAGAGCAAATCAAATAAAAAGAGAAAGCTTTTCTTATTATGTTTCATTGTGTAACAATAACATAATTTAAAAGACCAAAAGTCATATCTCTAAAAGTACGCGACTCAACAAGATCCCCAATTCAAAAGATTCTATCAAAAGCCAAAGTCTCATATGAACAAAAAGAGGGAACCACACATGTTCATATATCAAAACGGGTGTCTGGTGAGAGTGATTGATTTCACCTCACTGGCTGCTGGTTGTAGTGATTCTTCTCTTTCTTCTTCTTTGCAGCTGCCAGCTTTGCCTTCCTCGCAGCTGCTTCTTGTGCAGCAACTTTTGCAGCGGCGTCAGTCTCTTTGCTTGACTTCTTCTTCTTCATCGATGCAAGCTTCTTTATCTTTTCTTGGATATCCATGGAAGAAGAAGCCTCCTGGTCCTGCTCAGCGGACTCACCTGCAGCAGCATCTGTCTTCACTTCTTCCTGAGATTCTTTTGCCTCCTTCTGTTTATCCTTCTTTTTCTTCTTCTTTGAGGCCTTTGATTCTCCAGTTGCGTTCTCTTTCTTCTCTCCTTCTCCATTGACTTCCTTCTTTTCTTGCTTATCTGTTCGGTAAGAAACTTTTATCAGTATCAGCAAATGACTTTCTCAGCCAGTAATAACAAGCCAATGTAACAAAAGCTGTCCACATATGTAAGACATCATTGCGTGTGCATAATATAAAGAAGAACTGTGTGATAGAGAGATACCTTGAGTGTTTTGTTGACCAGTGGGATCAACTCCAAAATCAGCTAACAAAGCGTCAAGCTCAGCAAGTTCCTTCTGTTTCCTCTCTTTCTTGGAAAGCTGCCTCTCTGCCTCCTTAGGTGGTGCAGCAACTTCAGGAGCCTTCTTCACCACCTCAGGCTCTGCTTCTGGATGAACTTGCGTCTCATGCTCTTCCTCCAAATCATCCTCATCACCTTCATCAAGGATATCCTCTTCACTTTCACTTTCCTAAAAAAAAACTCTTCTCAATCAGAAACCAATGTACATACATAACTTATAATAGTGTCTAGAGAAAATTCTATAACAACAAAGGTATACAATTAGATATATGATGATGACCCTACTAGAATGCAAGATTATTACAAGTTTTGTAGTAGGCTTACAATAAAACAGCCTATTACAACCAAAACAGCCTTCTGGTTGTTGTATTACCAGAAAGCATACAAAATGTGTGTGTTTTTTTATCATCTAACTATCAAGTAAAGTAAAAGGACAAAACCAGTTAACTTTATAACATCAAATAGAGTAGTTTCAAGCGGTATCACTCAAACCAATTTAACACGAGAGACACCAGATTGAACATATACACACAGACACAACACAACAAATGATTTCTTTTGACATCATTACCTCAACGTGAGTCTCTTTCGCGTCCAAATGAGACGCTTCAGAAGCAGAAGCATTCCACAAGGTCTGAGGAGGAGCAGTGGTAGCAAAATAGTCATCATCTTCATCATCACTATCAATATCCGCCCAAGCCTTGGCTTTGAGAGGCGTAGGAGCCCAGAAGACCTGAGGCTCAGGCGCCTTCTGCGATGAGGAGCCCTTGCTCTTACCAGCTTTGTCTGTTGTCTTCTTCTTCTTCTTCCTCGTGTCCAAAGCAGCGAACAAGTTTGTGTTCTGAATCGGCATCGATCCTTCGTCTCTCCTGTTTCCACCACCAAACATCTTTCCTTTCTCTCTCTCTCTCTCTTAAACAATCAAAGATTCAGATAACAAACAAACAGCTAAAAAGGTCCGATCTTTATCAAAACCCAGAAACGATTTCAGATGGAAGTTACAGATGGAAAGAAAGATTGAATCAAGCAATGAATAAGAGATCAGAAAGTCTAATTATATACGAGAGAGATGTAAAAATTTGATCTTTCTTCTATAAGCAGATTCTTGAAAACTTTAATGGGCGGCGAATCTGGAAAGCGATGGATAATTAGGGTTCCAGATCAGAAGGTGTAGAAAGGAGGTTGGTATATAGATGAAAGGAGAAAAACAAGAGAAGCTAGGAAGTTTCGGGAAGCTAGTTTCTGATGGGGATGTGAGATGAGATGATTAGGGTTTCTTAAAGAGGTAGCTAGCTATCTCCGCCTCTGTATCAGACCGATGGTTAGATTACAAAATCGAACCGGGTTCGAGCTCAAATTGGAACTTAACGAAGCAAATCGACTTGGGCGTTGATTGGTAAAACATTATCATAAGCATTATCATAAGCATTATGCTCTCCATTATCCAATCAACATTTGACAAAGAAACATTTAGAAAAGTATTTACCAAATGCAAATGCTCTTTGCTCAATGCTCTCATATAGAGTTTTTGGGAGAGCATTTGCATATAGAAAATATAAAATTTAATAGTATTTATATATAATTAATTTATTTTTGTTTAATAATATCAACAGTATTTTTATAATTAAATATAAATTTATATTTTTAAAATAAAAATTATAATTAATTTTTTTTAAAAGAAGAATATTTCACATTTAAAATATAATTTAATTTATATAATTACATATATCATTCATTATTTTTAATAACAAACAGAACATAATATAATTTATATATTATCGATATAAACATATTATTTAGACACTAATAAATAAATTATATATTAATTTTTATGATAATTTTATATATGATTTATTTAGTGCTCTACCAATAAATAAATAATAATAATTTATATATAAATTATAATTAATTTATATATATAATATAATTAATTAATTTATTTATTTAATAATAATTATAATTTAATAATAATTAATTAAATTATAACTATAATTTTATATATGAGTAATATGTTTATATCCAAAAATAATTTAATATTTTTAAAAATAAATTTTAAAATTTTAAATATAATTTATATAATGAAAATTCATTATTTTAATAAAATATATATTATTAATATATATTATATATATATTATTTTAAAAGAAATATATTATTACTAACTATTATGACAATTTTAAAATCGTATACTGTCAATGCTCTGCCAATCACTTTATTAAAAACTTTAATGAAAGCATACAACTTCTGTAGCATACTACTTCTACAGCATACTGCTAATGCTTTATCATCTGTTGTACCAATCGAAGCCTTTGTCCTTATTCATTAATCATCATTTTAATATATTAAAGATTTTTTCACCTTTCTTTTGATATTTAATCACCAAAAAAGAAATAATTTATAGAGTGATTTGCGTCAATATACAAGAAACGAAAGATATTTAGGTACAAGAGCGGTAAACTTTTTAATTGGGTATGGTAATAAACACGTGGTTTCGGAACTTACCACTTTGTCCCTATCACTAATATGCAAATAAGCTGAATATGTATTGGGTGTCAGAGGCAAGTGACGTAGTGCTAAATTATTAACAATTTATGATCAATATTTTATTAGGCCTTTATACTACTATTAATCTGGATATCTTTTTAAAGGATCAATTCTGCATCATCATTATCAGCAAATTTTAATCCACAGCACATAGTTCCATCTGTCGGATCAATTCTCCACCATCATCATCAAAAGGAATAAACTGATCATTAATGAATCTTTCTCACGATCGAAATACCCAGAAAAATCTCATATTTAAGTCATTTTCAGACAATAAGATAGTATGTCAAACAGATTTCAAAGAGAATCAATAAAGAGGAAATTGTGTAGACACTACTTACAAAAATAGAAATGAAAAAATTTAAATTAAGAAAACTATCTTAATCAGATTTATTCTTAAAGGAACACACCAAAATCAAACAGGTAATTGATCAGAAGAAGAAGAAAAAACACTGCTGGATCTTGATGCATGTTACTCCACAGAGATGACACCGACGCATAAACCGAGAAGATCGAAAAACAAAAAAAAAAACAAAATTTTCAATTATCAGCAAGTTATCACCTTTTGATTTTCTATCTAAGTTCAACAGAAAACAAGCGACCACATCTTGCCAGAGACTTTTCGATAGTTTAACAAAAATCAGGTACATTTACAAAAATAAAGAGTGTTATAAAGCAAGTGAGAAGAAAACAATTATTTTCCCGAGAATATCTAGGAAAGAGAAAAACTGGTGAAGTGATTTAAAGTGAAGAAGAATAAGAAATGGAAAGTGGAGTAGAGATAGAAAATTTAGAGATCTTGAATCTCGAAAAAGTGGAGTAGAAGAGAGAGATCGATGAAAGAGAGAGAGCTTAATAGTAGGGGCATCATGGGAATTTTTAAAATAGAAACAGTACACATACCACATAGCTAAATAATCTTTATTTTGTGTATATAGGATGCAATTACTCTAATTTATATGATATTTATTAGATTTTAATTTTCAAGATTTTATTCAAATTATTTCCTTTCTGAATCATAACAGAACCAAAATAACATAATTTATTTATATGTTTTTTTTGTAATACACACTTGAATGTTTATCACACAGTTGAATGTTTATCACAAGAATTTTTTTTCAATAATATAAATAACATTGTGTATATTCATACTTGTGAGTTTCAAAAAATATATATTCAAAATTTTATGTTAAGAATGCTATTTTCCTTCTACTACTTTTTTCCATATTAATTTTTTTCACTTGGTTGGACATCTTGTTTTAATGATGAGGACTCCACTTTTTGTGGTTTTCTAACTTTTTAGGTGTTGGTCTTTGTTTATGGTTCCCAAATATCAGACTTTGAAGGATTATAATCATATACAGATCTATTTGACCAATGTATTCTCTTATGAGTTCTTATGAAATGAAATGATATGCAATGTTAAAGAAAATTGAGCTAAGGTATTTTAGCCCAACACCAATAAAAAGATTGAACTTCCCATTAATCTGTATCTACTTTATGGTTAGTTTATTATCTTTTAAAGATAAGAACCTAAGTGGGAACCTACTGATAATCTTGTTCTAGGTTTGTACATTGTAGTCAAAATTTTCTTCAATTTTTCTTCAGTCTAAGATGGTCACCTTCGACCATGAAGTGGGATAACTTCTTTGAAAACAAAACGGTTGAACTTTGAGTTCGAGAAATTCTTTCAACAATTAATTTACCTTTGTATATGCCGAAGATTGTAGACTCCTAAGAAAAGGGAAAGTAGGTAGGTTTACCCATCATCGTCAAGTTCACTGTCATTTCTTGGAGAAAACTGACTAAAAAAAATCCTCTTGAAGTTATATCTCACCGGCTTCAATCCATCTTTTACACCTTCACCTAAAGTTTAGCAAGCTGAAGTTATATCCCCCATGACTTGAGCAATACTTAAAAGCTTTGAAGAACATTGATGTGCTACCTAGAAAGCTATCTTTTTAGTTAAACTGAAGCACATCATTGGTAGTTATGGTAACTCTCTAAACCTTATTCTCAGTGATGGACTGACAAAGTCTGTGTTTCTCCATGTAATATGCACACGAGACCTTTATGGTTAGCTCATCTTGAGCATGAGTTCTTTTATAAGCGGAAGATACTCTACAACTCTTGTTACGAGGGCCGTTTCAATTTCTTTCTGGATTATGTTCAAAAAATATTAATGATATATTTAATAATTTAATGAAGTAATTTTCAAAGTTAAGAACTATATCTAATGTTTCTTATTAAATTTTAAGTTATAATTTAGCAATTATATACGTTTTAGAGTTTTTACCATAATTATATATATATATCTATATTTAAAAAAAAATCCTAAATTTTTCTTAATTTTTTCTTATTTTTATATTTGTAGGCTTGGAGCCATGTTCGACCGTTCCACTTACACATGCTATTAAACGACCATGCTTGTTTCAACTTCTTGTTTTTCCTCCACCAAATCAACCTACTCCTAATTTCCATCGAGTTGTCAAAGTTGAACAAGAGAACACCATTCATTTTCTCTTGTGGCTCTTGTGCCATTTGTAAGAAAAAATATCAAAAGAAATAACTTAAACAACTTAATGGAATTCAGAAATCTTGTTACTCAACAAGAAATTAATGGCTAAACTTACGGTGGTGAGTATTTCTTCATTGACGAACACGGATACTCTGACATTTAGATTGTTATACTGAAAATTTACAAGAAAACAATTATGGCTAAACTTATATTCGCGTAGAATCAAATTTCATCCTCTAAAGCTAGTACCTTGAGATGTGATCGATGAGCCATGTATCTCGCTTAGGTAGTAAAAGCTCAATTCAAGAAGGAGAAACATAGGGTTTATGATACTACTTTCAATCAAATTATAACCTTGTGATATGATTGACGATTCCTTTCTCTCGCTTATGCAAGACACACTTCAAGAAGGAAAAAAAAAGAAGCCGAGTAGAGATCATGGTGGGGTTTTTATAATACTTTCCATTCAAATTATATTGTCAGCCTCCTATGGGCTGTTCAATTATCAATCTGTTTGAGGTTAACGTCATACATGAAATAATTTCTTAATTATTACCAGAATTTGATCATTTTAAATCCGTCTTATCTATAACACTTACCGTTACAAATATATGGATGTTAATATGGAAAATGCTATTACACACAAATTCATTTTTTTGTCATCCCAGATTCAATTAAGACTTTAGTAACTAAATTGGTAACTCTGAATTCATGTGAACATATGACGGTTAATTTTAAGCACCCTTGTACAAAACTATCCATCCTTATATTCAAAGTTCGCGGAACATGAGTAATCTCTAGGTGACGAAAACTCTCTCCTCAAGGACACAAAATTATGTTATCTCATCAAAATCATAAAAATCTATAGGTTCTCACTAAACCAGTTTGATAAAAATACTCTCTAAAACCAGGTTTTGTTTTGAAGAAATATTTTTGACATTTATGTTAGAATTAGAAAAACACTCAAAACAGTATCTACTTAATAATCTTAATTTTATTCGGTAAATTATTTTCAAATTCACATTAAGGGAAATAACTTTTTAATCCCTAAATGTTTTTTTCTTAAAATGATATATTTGGTGCACAAAAAAGAGGATATATTATTTACTAATGGTATTTTGGGAAAAAAATATATATATTCAGTTGCATTTATAAAAGTGTGCCTCTCAATTATTTACGGAGTAGTTTATAAAATTGTTCATTTTTTTAAATTAATTTTCTTAACCTTCTTTAACACAATATTTATAAGCAAATGATTTATGTTCAGAAAATATAACTACAGTTTTTTCACATACACCATAATTGACTTCTGAGAAACTATTTTAGATATAATTGTGTTAATAACTTTGATAACCATAAGCAAAAGTACTTGTTTAAGTTGAATTATGTGTAAAGTTACAAAATAAAGAGTTTGAATTCTATGTTTTAAACATTCGTCACATCAGAGCTTTGAGACGGATTGCAAAGAGTTAATAGCAATGTTTAGAGATCCTCACGGCTGGCCAAGTTTCTCAACATAATTAAAAAAGATCATGACGCTGTATATTTGTTTTTCAGATTTCAAGATTTTCTATATTCCTAGAACGCAGAATGGTGTTGCAGACTCTTTAGCAAAATCTGCTCGATCCTTTTATCGAGAGTTATTGTATGTTGTTCTATTCCGGTCTGGCTATCCAAACCAACTCAAGTTTGAGTAATAGATCATCCGTTCGTTGAAAAAAAAAAAAAAAAAAAAATTGTTGGCATGATAGACACAGGATCACGGTCGGTTTAGCAACACACGTGAGGAAAAAAAATCTTCTCTCCTAGTACAGCTTTATTTAAATCCTGACCGTCCAAAAATATTTCGCACCTGAGGATCTAAACCGTCCATTGTATCTTTTCGGTTGCAGAACTATTTTTTCTAAAATATCCAAAATCTGGACCGTACAATTAGTAACGCATCGAGATCGGACGGTAACCATCACCCGACTTTTATTTGGAATGTGTTTTCTTTATATTATTGTCTTTAACTGAAAAAACCTTACTCTTGCGATACCAGACGAAACCCTAGCTCCCACCAAATTTGCCTTTTTTTTATTCTCCGCGAAATCGAACGAAATTTTTTGGGAAAAAGGTAGAATTGATCGATTAGGGATCCGATTCGCAGTCCGATTTACCGAAACCCTAATTTTGATTTTGGGATTGGGGCGATTATAGAGGTCTTTCGGAATCCGTTGTCTCCAGATGGAGTGGTGAAGGTAGGCATGCAAAGCTCTCTCCTTTTTGTTTATTTGCTGTTTAATTTCGCTTGATTGTGGAAAAAGTTCGTGGATTTGAATGTATGATCGTTTATTGGCTAGTTTTATCTGTTTTGGGCACTTTTGTGATTCTGGGTTTGGTGTTGATGTTATAGATCTGAAGATGTGTGTATGCGTATGTGATGGAATTTGAGACTTGGTGGGTTTTTGTTCGAGGTGTCTTTGATGGAAGATAGAGTAGGTAGCTCTAATGGAGTGGGAGTTTCTAAGAGATCAAGGTCTTTAGATACGTTGTATAAGTCTAGCATTCCTAAGGACTCTGTTGATAAGAGTTTTAAGAGGAAACATGGGCCTGGGAGTGATGGTGATCGGTTGAAGCAGGATAAGAAGAGCAGGAAAGTTGGTAATGAAAACGAGACAGTTCTTGATAAGTCATGCAATGGCACTAAGATATTGGACAGTTTGGAGGAATCTAAGGTGGGTTTGGATGTGAGAATGTGTGATGGTAATGGGCTCCAAGGGGTTTCAGAGGGGTTGGCTGGTAGTATGATTTATGTTCCTAGACGCAGGAGGGATTTTGTTGGGAGGAGTAGGTTTGAGAATGGTCTAGTTCAGAAGTCTGCAGATACAGGGGAATCTGTTAGTCAGGAGAGGCTGGTTGATAATCTTCCTAAGGAAACTGGTGAAGAATCTAGTGCTCAGGATCAGCTCTCTAAAGCTGAGGAGAAGGATTCTGACAAAGAACTCAAAGAAGCTAATTCAACGGCTCAGCTGGAAAACGGGCATTCGAATCGGTCTCCTGTGAAAGATGACCAGTTGGTTGTTAAACAAACTAACTCTAATAGCAGAAAAAGGAAGTCCTCAGGATCAAACAGACGTGTTGGAAAAGAGGCAAAGTCCTCAGGTGATGCTTCAAGTAGAATACCCAAGGTGTTACGAGAAGATGATGAGGAGAATCTTGAAGCTAATGCAGCAATAATGCTGTCTTCGCGGTTTGATCCTAACTGCACCCAGTTTCCTTCAAAAGTTCCTGTTACTCCTGAATCACCGTCTACCAGTAGAGTACACCCATTATCTTCTGGTAAGAATTCAGTTACTCCTGGGTCTGAGTTGATTAGTTCCAAATGTGTCTCAGACGACAATGATGATAGATCTTTGCGACCAAGGAGAAAGCGTGATTGGAAGGGTAAAGTTCGGAAAAGACGCCACTTTTATGAAATATCATTTTCAGATGTGGATTCGCACTGGTTGTTAAACAAGAAAATAAAAGTTTTCTGGCCTTTGGATGAGCGTTGGTATGATGGCTTTGTGGATGGTTACGATGGAGACAAGAACCTACATCATGTAAAATATGATGATCGTGATGAAGAATGGATCAATTTGCAGGGTGAAAGATTCAAAATTCTGTTGTTCGCTACTGAAGTTCCTGGAAAAAATCTACGGAAAAGGAGCAATTCAGGGTCCAAGTCTGCTACTACGAAAGTTAAGGGGAACGATACATCCAGCCAAGAAGAGAAGAAGCAGAAGGGAAAGCTTGAAGATGATAGTTGCATGGACGACATGGAATCAGAACCAATCATCAAATGGTTGGCTCGGTCTGTGCATCGGGATAAATCTTCCACTCCTAAGGCTGTACAAAAACGAAGAAAGTCAGAAATAATGACGTCTAATGAAACTGTGACAGTGAATGGGGATGTTGTTAGAGACACTGCAAGACAGTACACAGATAGATCTGCTAGTTCTACTCCATCATGTGGTTCACCTGGACCAAGTGGGAATGAATATCCTCTTGTCTATTATAGGAGACGACTTCATACAGCAAAAAAAGGAACCCACAAGGGGCCGGGTGGCAATAATGTTGAGCTGCTTCATGTATCAAAAAGTCCGGATCCTGATGTAGATTTTTTGCCGTTTAAAGATTCTGGGCCTCTGGAGATTTATTGTCCGTGGAATGACACAGAACAATTTGAGTTGTCCCTCAGTCTACAGGTTGTTTCTTTGAGGAACTACTTTCTTATGGTGGATGTTGACTGGCTTTCACGTGTTGTGTTTTTGCTTCATCATGGTACACTTGTGACTTTGTGGCCGCGGGTTTGTTTGGAAATGATTTTCCTGAATAAACAATATGGGCTTAGGTATCTAGTTTTTGAGGGCTGCTTAATGGAAGCTGTTCAGTTAATTTTCCGTATCTTGATGGTAGTAGCTCATTCTAATAAGCAAGGAGTTCAAGGAGTGGATGCTGACTTGCAGTTGCCAGTTTTTTCAATTGGTGTCCAAGTTACTTTCATCCCAGGTTTCCAAAGGCAATTTGCATGTCAATGTTACAGCTTCGATAAAGTGAAACATTCACAGTGGTCATACTTGGAACAGAATGTCATGAGGCATTGTTTGTTGGTTAAGCAAGTATCAACGTCGGAGTGTACATACGATGACATGGAGGCCCTTCAGAAGGTACATTGATTCTTTAATGCATGAGTTTGGTTCATTGCTTAGTTGGTTTTTACTTTTATTTTGTATAATCTCTTACCTACCAGCGTGTTTTTTAAAAAAAAAAAATTGAACATCAGGTTATGCAAAAGAGATTTAGGCATGGAATCAGCTCATGCTTTGTTTCAAGAAGATCACCGTCCGTTAAAACCTGCCCCACATCTGCTTGCTACAAGAAGCAAAGTACGTCCGCGTTTGCCCTTCCTCTTGCTGCAGGAACACCTGCATTATTACGTAATTTACACCTGGAAATGGTGAGAGAGCTGGGTCATGTAGCAGCAGAATACCTGGGGACTGAACGCTATTTGGTAACAGACGGAGGTTGTGATATGGCAGATTGCACAAATGATGAACCTTCTCTCAAGAGTAAGGGCCAAAATAGTGGACCCACTATCACTTCTTCCGGAGGGCAGGAAGCGCGAGAGTCTAAAGACCTTCACACAGAGTCTCAAAGGCATCAGCTAGAGTCTAATTCTGAAAAGTGGATGTCATGCAGTTCTTCTGTTCTCAGACATAAGCACAAAACCAGGTCTAACGTTGCGGTGAATAGCATGAGTATTCAAGTTCCAACATCTGATCATCGTGAGGATGGTGCCCTGCAATCAAGTAATCTGGCCTTGAATAATCAAGGTAGCACCTCAAGTCCTAAGGTCACCCCAAGAAGTGTGTGGCAACGAGGCAAAAGTTCTTTAAATGGCCATCTCTCACATGGCTGGTCGGATTCAAAGGGAAATTTTCTGCACACTAATTTAGGAAGTGGACCCAAGAAGCGACGTACCCAGGTGTCATATTCATTACCTTCTGGGGGTTCTGATTCTAGAAACAAAGGTTCCCTGCACAAGGGGCTTCCGAACAAAAGAATTAGAAGGTCTGCTGCTGATGTTTCTAAAAGTCTTGAGAAAGATTTGGAGTCTAGTTTCTGTGATGCCAACGTGTTAGTCACTTTTGGAGACAGAGGCTGGAGAGAATATGGAGCTCAGATTGTCCTGGAACCCTTTGATAATAATGAATGGAAACTTGCAGTGAAAATCTCAGGGACAACAAAATACTCGCACAGGGTACATCAGTTTCTGCAACCTGGCTCGACAAATAAGTTTACACATGCAATGATGTGGAAAGGAGGAAAAGATTGGACCTTAGAATTCCCTGATAGGGGCCAGTGGTTTCTTTTCAAAGAGATGCATGAAGAGTGCTACAGTAGAAATACGCGGGCTGCTTTAGTTAGAAATATTCCTATTCCTGGTATCCGCATGATAGAAAAAGACACGTTTGATGGAACAGAAACTGAATTTTTCTGCAGTGCTAAATATTTTCGGCAGACCGAAACTGATGTTGAGATGGCATTGAATCCTTCACGTGTTTTGTATGACATGGACAGCGATGATGAGCAGTACCTTAAAAGAATTCGTGAATGTTCGGATGCTGAGAACAGTGGTTATTGTGAGATCACTGAGGACATGTTTGAGAAGGCAATGGATACATTTGAGAAGGCTTCTTATGTAAAGCAGCGTGATCACTTTACCTTGATCGAGATTCAAGAACTGATGGCCGGAGTCGGATCCTTGGAAGCAGTGAAAACAATATATGAGTTTTGGAGAACAAAGCGTCAGAGAAAGGGAATGCCACTAATCAGGCATCTTCAGGTATGATCTCTGATTTACTTTATTTACTTGGTGTGAAATGTTGATTTTGTGGACAGCAGGGCTATGTACCTTATGTATTACATAGGGTGCTGCTTTTCAGTATGTTTTATGACATGGTCGGTGTTATATGCAAAATGGAACGGCTACTAGTAGACAAAGTACATCTTGTTATAGGTAGTTTGCCTTGAAGTTAGTTTTGCAGGAAGATGTTTGTAACTCCAAAACTGTAACATCTTATATAGTTATTACACTGTTCTGTTTCAACAACAACACTGATCATTTTATTTTTGGTTGTCTGCTGCAGTGTACTTAATTTGTGTCTAATATAAACACTTGTTATCCTGTCTCTGCAGCCACCTCTGTGGGAAAAATATCAACGAGAGCTCAAAAACTGGGAATTGGTTATCAGCAAAGCAAACACTCCCAACTCCTATGGGCTACCGAAGAAAGAGTCACCTATTGAGAAGCCAGCGATGTTTGCTTTCTGTTTCAAGCCTCGAGGTCTAGAAGTCAAGCACAGGGGAACAAAGCACAGGACACAGAAGAAACTATCGGTTTATGCTCAACATAGTACTACTGCTTTGGGAGATTATGATGCCTATAATTCATCTGGTAACTCACTTTTACCTGCTTAGTTTTCTAACTTCGTTGACACGGGTTCTTCTATATGAGTTATGTCTTTAACCCAAAGTTTCCGTTATTTTAGCAGGAAGAAGATCTGGTGGTTACGCTGGAGATGAGAGGTTTTTATATTCAAATCACAACTATGAGCAGTTGAACGAAGTTCCTGCAACACATTCCCCTCGTGACCTAGGCATGGGATACTTCTCGACGGGTGGAAATGGATATCATAGGAACCACCAGAACAAGTTTCAAAGAATCAATGGGAAGAGGAATACGAGTACACGATGGAATGCAGGCTATTCTGAAACCCCTTGTTACTCTAACGGATCTCAGCGTCTTGAATTGCATAATAATAATAGCACAGATATTGATGAGCGCAAACTACGAGATGCAGCTGGTGCTGCAAGGCGTGCATGCGCTTTGGCCAAGGTCAAGCGTGAAAGAGCAGAGAGATTGAGGTATGTGGCAGATCTAGCGATCCAGAAAGCTGCAGCAGCTCTCCTTTGTGCTGAGGCAGTAAAAGGTTCCTCTCTGGACCAAAATTGCAGTGGGTCAGACAGCTCAAGCGAAGATGAGACGACATATACCACTTTTGTTAGTAGTAGTTAAGAAGAGAAAAAAGTAAAAAAAAAAAAAGAGATGGTTAAAACAGAGAGGAGGTTGTAAGTAATTTAGTTTATTAGCTTATTTTGGAAGATTGATTCAGTTTGAGCAAGATTCTTGTGCAAGGTGCTCTTCACCGTTTCTTCACTAGCTTCTTTTGCTTTTCTTTTTTTAATATCAGTCATAAAAAATGTACGCAAACGAAGTCAAATTGCAACATTTTTCTTGATAATAGTTTCTATTAGACAGAACGTATAGAGAATACTGTATATGTAGAAGGAAAAAATTGACTCTAGGTCAAATTTGATATCAATTTTTATAATGACTTTAAATGATAAATACTTTTCATAAATACCTTAAGATCTTTGAGAAAAAGAACCAAAACTAACTTCTCTAAATCATTTATAAATGTTTCTAAATCATTTATAAATGTAAGAGTTATTTATAAAAGTTTATAAGATTAATTTCACTTTCTAAATATCAAATAAACAATAATTTGTGAATCAATCTTGATCCTATTTGAACCGTGATCTAAATAATTTTAGCGTATTTTCGTCCGGTTTTAAGATACGAAACCTGATCTGAGAAAAAAAAAAAAAAAACTTGATCTGAGAAGAAAGTGAAAGTTCCTTCATTAATCAATCATCTAATCATATACCTGTTTAATGGGCTGAGCCCAACTAGTTAATAAGCCCAAATGTTTCGTTATCGGATTCTTCCTCTGGATCACTCCGTCCACAGTACAGATTCTAGGGTTAAAGTCTTCCAGGTATCATCATCACCATCACCATCTCCTTCTTCTTCTTCACCAAAGCTACAAACTCTGTTCCCTTGTTATTCCCACAGTATTTCTACCGCGATGAGTCTTGACCACGTCTTAAACCATCTAAAACGCAAACACCTCGAGAACCCATCTTTCACCTACGCATTAGAGCAAAACAACGAAGACAACAACAACATCTCCACCATCTTCTGGGCCGATCCCACTTGCAGATCAAACTACACTCACTTCAACGACACAGTCTTCTTCGACACAACCTATCTAAGAACAAACTCTCAACTCCCTCTCGCCGCCTTCACAGGCATCAACCACCACGGCCAACCTCTCCTCTTCGGCTGCGCTCTAATCCTCAACCAATCACAATCCTCCTTCTCCTGGCTCTTCCACACTTGGCTCCAATCCATGTCGTCTTCCCTTCCTCCTCCTCCTTCCGTAACCCTCGAGCCTGACCCCGTGATACACCTCGCTGCCTCTCAGGTTTTTAATCAGTCACGTGTTCGTTTTAGCCTCCCACTTATAATGGAGAAGCTAGGTCACGTGTTCCAGTCTAATGACCCGTGTTTTGAATCAGAGTTTTTGAGATGTGTTAATGAGACGGAGACTGTTGGTGAGTTCGAGAGGGTTTGGGAGTCTGTTGTGAGGAGATACTGTCTTGAGGAGAATCATTGGCTTCAGTCTATTTATAATGTGAGGGAACAGTGGGTTCCTGTTTTTATTAAAGACACGTTTTTTGGAGAGTTGTTGTCTGATGAGAACTCGTTTTTCAACGGGTTTGTGGATGCTTCGACTACGTTGGAGATGGTTATGTCACAGTGTGATGAAGCTGTTAACAGCTGGCGTGTTAAAGAGATGAGAGCGGATTATGAATCAAATAATACGACGCCGGTTTTGAAGACGGCTTCTCCCATGGAGAAGCAAGCTGCTGGAGTGTATACGAGGGAAGCATTTTTGAAGTTTCAGGAGGAGTTTGTTGAGGTTTCCGCGAATAGTGTGGATAAGATAAGTGATTCCACTTATCGTGTGGGGAAGTTCGGACAAGGTTATACTGTTGAGTTTGATGAGTCTGTTGAGGTGAAAGCTAATTGTAGCTGTCGGATGTTTGAGTATAAAGGGATTGTTTGTAGGCATATATTGGCTGTGTTTAGTGCTAGGAATGTTTTTACTCTTCCTTCTAGGTATATACTAAGGAGATGGACTAAGGATGCAAAGAGTAGTAGTGAGTTTTCAAACAGTGGTTGCCAAGAGGCTTTAACTGTTTGCTATGATAATCTCCGACAAGAAGCAACCAAGTATGTGGAGGAGGGGGCTAAATCTATTCAGGTTTATAAAGCTGCAGTGGCTGCCTTGGATGAAGCGTCCAAGAAGGTTGCTGCTGCTGCTGCAAGTAGTAAAATTAGAGGAGGAAGTAACGGGGATACTTACCGGTCTGATGAAGCTCAAGAAACTGGCAATGGAATGAATCATCATCATGGGGTCAACGAACTTCAATGTCAGGGTGAGAAGGAGAGGACTATACTTGAACTGACAGCTGAACTGGAGAGGACAGGTCAGCGATGCGAAGTTTATCGAGCAAACTTGTTGTCTATTTTGAGAGATATGGAAGAACATAAGTTTCAGCTGTCTCTCAAGGTACAAAACGCTAGACTAAGCTTGAGAGAGTGATGGATAATGCGCATACTATCACAGTTCTACTCGCTTACTCTCTGCTTTTAAACAAAATCTTCTAGCTTCAACAACTCTGTACTTAAAGATGATAAGAGCTCTGATGTCATATGCTTAAAGATGCTGCATTGTGTTGGTCAGAGTATGCAGAAAACCTAAACCACATTTTGAATCTAATCGACCTTATTACGCGTACAACTTCCATTATATCTTCTACTCGAAAGATCAAAACCATTAACAGAAACATAATGAATCATAAGACATTAAACCAATACTGGATAAATATGTTTACAAATAGCACCGCGTGTCTCATACGTGTACTCTATTAAAAGTATGAGAAATAAATAAGAAAACTACTCATCACAAACCTACTTGGAGGAGAAGAGAAAAACGAAGAACTAAGCAAAGATGTTTTGTGTGAACAAGAGGCCACATATGAGAAACACAGCGTACAAGCTAAAATCCATAGAAACAGCGTTCATTATCTTCTTCATCATCATGACCATCTCCAGCGCGTTGCCCACTTGGTCCGCTATGCCTTGTCCACTCATTACTGAGTTTTCTCGCCTTGAAGCTGAGGAAGGATCTCCATGATGGGTCAACAGAACACGTCCCATTACAATAGTGGCATCGGTCAAGAGAAGCAAGAAGACAGGTCTGAAGCTTACTATGCTGCCTAGTGAAGAGAACCCGAGGTGAGATAGTACGAGGTGAGATAGTACGACGAGAAGGGCAATCAAAAGAGATGAGAACATCCGTGCGTATTCAGAAGCATCAACGGCGGCTCCAACGTGTTTTGGAGTGATGGTGTTGACAAAACTAACCAGAGGAGTGAATGCTTGAGAAGCACCCAAATCTACCACTGATGGGACTGCAGGAGACGGTTGTACCCTTGTGTCTCTGGGATCTGAAGCAGAGGCTTCAGCCAATGTTTCAGTATACTTCAGAGGCTGAAGAGAGTCTGCTCTGCTTTGATGGATGATACGATCCATATCATCAAGCTTCGAAGCCTCGGAGATGTTTTCTTGATGACTAGTGAAAGCTGCAATGTCATAACCATGATCAATCAAAACCAAATACACTAGGTGTTTCTTGATATGCTTATAAGAGACTGGAATCAACAACATCTCAGCGATGCAACCACATGTTTCTCTATGAAACCAATTACACATCCATCACGATTCTTGTTCATAATATAAACAGTTAAGTAAGCAAAAACACACGTTTAATAAATACGTGGATACAGCAAGAGCAAGTACACCACTCTTAAGAAGCTCCACAAATGCATCTTCTAATATTCTATATTTGTATATATGAATTCGAATCTATGACTATCCATATCAATGTTCTAAAAATCAGTTTAGTTTAGGCGTGTACGTGTCCCCGAAACATTTTTCAGAACAATTCTTTTAAAAGCGTTCAAAAAATCGGTCTACACGCCCGCCTAATCAATAATCCCATATAAACCTCCTAATTAGCGCCTAGCGATTTCTTGAATATTGATTCATACACATTAAAATGTGATCAAAGATTGCTTCCTATGCTTCGAACCAATACACAACGGTCAGATTAATGGCATTGGTTAGCATCTCATAAACTCAAGACGCTCTAGATGCAATTCAACGTATTCTGTAATCAAGATTCAATAGCAAATAACACAAACAAACAATAACAGAAATCGAACTTCCGTACGAAACGACTAGAGGATGATCGAGAGAGAAAGCGAACCTGTTTCTCGATCAGTAGGAATATGATCACGAGGCGTTATCGTCTCCGGTGAGGAATCACTAGTGCGGAGGTGAGACTGAGTAAGGGAAGTGGGATCGGAAGAAGGAGAAGGAGAAGGAGGAGGAGGAACGTCGTTGATCTGACCAGTGATGAAGGCCAAACGATCAGATCCTCTTTCTAAGATCTTACGCCTCCTCGCTTCTCTGCTGTTCGACGCCATTGTCTTCGGAAGGAATCAGTTGACGACGGAGGCGATTAGAGACGCCGTGATGTGAAATCGCTTCTAAACGTCAATAAGGAGTTCGTCGCGTTTGAAGTAATTTGATTAACGGGCCTATTTAAATGGGCCAGATGTCTACAATTTAGTGTGGTTTAGCTGAAATGGGCCGAATGTCTTCAAATGATTTAATACATTTAAGTAGGTTCTAATGTATATATGCTTGAGTGCTTGACAAAGAAACTGAGTACATGTTCAGTTTCATTCATTTCTTTCATTTTGATGAACCACTTAGTCGCCATTTTGATCCTGACTATAATTATATAACTTTGGACATTATAATACATATGTTATATGCACCAATCTGAGTTGGGTTTCTAGACTGAATATGACTTTGACATCTGCCAAACTCTTGCTTATCTTGTGGCTTATGGTCTTTCTGTGTAGGCCGCCCTGCTTTGATCTGACGTCACCGTTCATTGCCAAGAGACCCATGGGGTTGCAGAGAGATGGATACAACACATGCAAAAATGCTCTGCAGTACACTTGCAATGGCTCTCTTACTTAGATGGTCTCATACATGGGCAGATGTAGAACTGTATTTAGATGGGGGCACATGATCCCTTTTTTATTATATATAATTTTCTAGATTGAGTATTCTTTAGATATTTTATATATTATTATAGGAAAATTAAAAATCAGATTGTGTTATGTGACACCGTGTCGGTGGCCGTGCGTCCGCCCCTGATCTCATACATCACCAGATTAATACTTTACCAGCATTATGGATGTTGAAGAACTCCATAATGCACATATTTAGGAGGCCTAAACAAGAATTCCATAAAGATGGATTGAGCATTAACAAGTTACAGACTTAGAGAGATTTAAGAATGTGATGTATAATACACTCTCTGTACGTTGAAGATTGTGAAACAACTAAGGGTAACATGATACGGCTCTGACTGAACCAGAAACCAGAATCACTTGCAAAAAAATGTTCACCACATTCCATAAAAATATCATTTTAATTGTTTATATTCTTTAAAATTACACAACATGAGAATAATTATGTAAGCAGTTTTCCACGAGTTCAAACACACAGTTAATTTGTCCTCCAAAGTTTGTATTTCTAAATCTATTTAGAAGATATTTATAATTATACTAAAGTTTATGTTTTTGTCACAAATAATATAACATATGGTTGCTCATTGCCATGGAGCCCCAACGGCACAGCAGTTTTGAAAAAAAAAAACTCAAAATTTTTTTTCCAATATTTATATACAAAAAAGGCAAAAACTTTATGGTTCAAATTGAAGTTTTGAATATAAGAGAGAGAGAGAGACCTCTCTGTATGTGCATAGAAGGGAGGAAATAAAAAATTCAAACGCTACGGATTCTCCTCACTCCATCGGCGCTGAAATCGCCGTCTAGGGTTTACTCATCTTCCTCCTCCTCCCCCTCCCATGGATTCAGATTCCTCCTCTAGGTCTCGGATTGACCAGGTCCGTTTCTCTTCTTTCCTTTGATTAGCTTCTTCTCTCCACGCATGTCGATCTTCTTCTTCTTCTTTATGTCTGCGCTTGCTGCAACATCTGAAAGTTTTAAAAGACTTTGACTTTCGAGAACTAGTGTTTGAAATCTGACCTGTATCGATGCAAAGGGATGAACTTTTGTTGAGTATTTGATTAATTGAAAAGACCCATTACTTTATTTGAAACCACATTGTGGCAGAATCCCATAATTTGATTTTTTGGTTTTGTTTATGAATAAAGTTTAAGACTTTGTTAGGGATTCTCCATGAATTAGTATTAAAAATAATTGATTTTAGATGCTTCTGTGACCAGTGAAGTTTTTTTTTTTTTTTTTTTTTGAATTAAGTGACCAGTGAAGTTAGTTATGATGAATGAGAAATGTGCAAAACAAGGGAGTTTTTGTGATATTGAAGCTAAAGTGTGTTTCTTTCTACTGACTATTTCTGTTCTTATGTTGTTGTCACTGTACCACTAGTTTTATGTTTCTAAGAAGAGGAAACATCCGTCACCAAATGTGAAGTCTGGGAGGAACGAGAAACATGTGAAGGTGACTGGAGAAAGGTCTCCTGGAGACAAAGGCACTTTGGACAGTTACTTGAAAGCATCCCTGGATGACAAGAACACTACCAACAGTGTGTTGCAGGCAAGGCAAGAAGCGTTTACAAAAAAACTTGATTTGGAGCGCCTGCCTAAAACTTCTAAAGGAGTTGAAAGATGTTTGAAATCGAGCGGATCTCAAGTCTTGGATAAAGGTGTTGCCACGGCTGAAAATCATGCAACGGATGGTTTGCATTGTGCCAGCCAGAAAGATAATTCAGATCTAAGAGACTTTGCCACTGATTTCTTGTCCCTGTATTGTAGGTAATATGCCTTTATTGTGTCGAATTTCGTATTCGTTTTCTTATCATCAAGGAGTTGGTTGGTGAACATCCATTTATGGCCGAGTAAGTTGTTCTGAGATTTAAAGGAATTTGTAAATTTTGCTTGTTTGGTTTATGCAGTGAAGTGCGGTCTGTTGTTGGCCCACCTCCACATCAGAATCCAAACGAACGGAAGCGTCCAAGCAGTTCATCACCACTTGCTCAAGATATGCAAATTTCTCACAAGCTGCGTTGTGATTCCCAAAATATACCATCACTGGATGAATTTGCATATCCTCTCGGTCGTAAGCCTGAATCAATCAGTATTGTTGATAAGAGAGATAAATCTGTTTCAGTCCCTATGCAGAAGGTAAAATGAAATAAACAGTTATGGTGACTTAACTTCCTGCTAAGCTGTTTCATGCTCAATTATTTGACGCCTCTGTTCTAATATATTCACAGATTCCAAACAATCAATCTGCTGAAATTTCAATGGGCTTGAGGAAGTGTACTAAGGCACCAGAATCATCGACTCATCTAACTGAATGCCATACGCCTGGATCAGCCGTTAAATCATGTCATGTTGGAACCCCTAGATCAGGAGGCAGTAGCTCAATGTTTTCACCTGGAGATTCTTTCTGGAATGAAGCAATTTTAGTTGCTGATGGAATGTCAATGCCAACTGAGAACTCTGGTTCCGTAGAAGCTAAAGATGGAGGTCAGGATGGAACTATTCTTTCATTCAGCCACAAAGCAGATAATTGCAGTGACACCTTGAAGAAAAGGTTAGGTTTAGATGAAAGCAGAGTCAAGGATAGAGATTCCATTGGTTATTCAAAGGTCGGGGAGAAGCATGGGAGAGATTTTAATAAAGAAGCTTCTCCGCTTCCTGTCAAGAATCTGGAACTTCTGTTTCAAGATAAAAAGACAAATGGAGGTACTCAAGAGAAATGTGCTCCACTGGATCAAAATAACATCACTCGAGGAAGCAGTACGATCTCTAAATCTGTTCTTGATAATAGTAAAGGATGCGGAAATCTTAATATTGCCAATAATGCTCAGGCAAATAAAAGTTTGATAGGAAGTAAGTATCCAGAACCTGAAGGAAAGAAAGTTTTAGAGTGTGAGAATAATCTTAGTATAAGATCTGATTCTATGATAAGCAACATGAGGAAACAGGCTGATTCTAGTGAATCTGAAGAAAGCTATACTCCTTCAAGCTCTCATCATAAGAAAGATGGTTTAAGTCTTAGCACTTGGCTTCCCTCGGAAGTTTGCAGCGTTTACAATAAGAAGGGGATATCTAAACTCTATCCATGGCAGGTACATAACTGTCCCTTGATGCGTTTGTCGCTATTTGTCAACTATTTTTAAGTAGACAGCTGACCAACATTTTCATTGTTCGTCTCCTATAGATCTATAGATGTGCATTTGCTTCTCTATTGCAGTGTAGAAAGTTTAACATCAGTTGAGAGCCTGCAGCTAGTATATGTCATCCAAAGTTAATCTGCTCTATATGCATTGCTTGTTTCATTTATGCAGTAGTTTTACATGCGATATATGTTGGTTATCGTTTTCGTATTTTATGTTTCTTGAGTTTGTACAGAATTGATTGGCAATTTTTCTCTTAACTCTAATCTTCGGTTTTATATTTATACGTTCTTAAATATCTGCCGCTTATTAGAGAGTAATGTCACTCGACAGCTATTCTTCTGATACACAACTATAGTTTCTTAGGTCGGTATTACATCTGAAGAAACTTCCTATTCTGTCTGAGATTCCTGTTTGTATCATTGTGTGTATGCTATTGCTTCTGACGTCCTTTTGCTAGCTGAATACAAACCGTTGTAAAATTTAACAGGTCGAGTGCCTTCAAGTAGATGGTGTTTTGGAGAAAAGGAATTTGGTATATTGTGCTTCTACAAGGTACCTTCATTGTTTTCTATTAATTTTCCTATTCAAAGTTTGCTTCTTTTTTTACATTTTTTGCTGGATCATGATATTAGTGTTAATAACTCACTAACAGGTTTATTCTATCTGACAATAATTTTCAATTTCAAAACCATGCTGTTTGTGCAGTGCTGGTAAAAGTTTTGTTGCAGAAGTCTTGATGCTGCGACGGGTCATTACAACTGGAAAAATGGCATTACTTGTGCTACCTTATGTATCCATTTGCGCTGAGAAGGTTTCTTTTATTATCCTCTCCAAGCATCCTACACGTTTAATAACATTACTTGCTGTTAATTTATTCGTATAACATTTGGATGCAGGCGGAACACCTTGAGCTCCTTCTTGAACCACTTGGTAAGCAAGTTCGGAGTTACTTTGGAAATCAGGGTGGTGGAACACTTCCTAAAGGCACTGCTGTGGCTGTCTGCACAATTGAGAAGGCAAACTCTTTGATAAATCGCTTGCTTGAAGAGGGTCGTTTGTCTGAACTTGGGATAATTGTTATCGATGAGCTACACATGGTATGGTTTTCACATATCTTGTTTATATTGATCTCGGACAATCTTATAACTGTCTGACACTATCTTTAGTTTCTTCGTACTCTATCTTTGTATATTAATAATGAATGCATTAAAAGGAATCTATTGCTCATGGTTTACACAGGTGGGTGACCAACATAGGGGTTATCTATTGGAACTTATGCTGACTAAACTTCGCTATGCTGCCGGTGAAG